CTCTCTCTCTCTCTCTAATATCAATAAACACATCCTTGGGTGAGCATTTAAACAAGTAAAAAAGTTACAAAGATGAGACACAGCAACACTAACTAGAGTTTCTTTCTGCATTGCAGTATATTGCTTGCATCCATCCATCCATCCATCCATCCATCCATGCATCCATCCCTCTCTCCCATCCATCCATTCAGAAGCATTTATCCAGCACTTCTCACCTCTCAGGCCCTGTTCTGTGGGGCTGGGAAAGCACTGGTGATTAAGACCATCATGGTCTGCCTGCCTTTTAATGGGAGCTGTGAATTTTTTGCCTCTCATATTATAGATACAGGGGTAATAGATTCAGAAAATGAGCCAAATGTGGTGAAAGCAAAGTGGAGTTTTGGAAAATAGCTTTCTATGAAGATATTTTTCTTCTGTGGTTAGCATTTTTTCTAAAGGTGGTGTGCTGAGCAAAATTTCAGTGAAGTGTCATTTGCTGATGGGTTTGCTAAGGTTCTGTGGTACCACCAGTGGCCTTTGAAGCCTGATGTGCTTTCATTTGATTTCCTTTTTGATGCAAAAGAAATTTTAAAAAATGTACTACAATCAATGGCCTAGAAATTACAAAAACAATGTTCTCAGAAGTAACCCATAAATGCCATGTATATATCATAAGCAAGGAGCATTCATTTAGTTAGAGCTGGAAAGAGAAGTGAAATGGGGCAGCAAAAAAAAAAAAGATAAACATACACACTTTCAAAAGAGTAATTATATTTTTACACCACCCCAAGCTGTTCTTTCTAACGTGGCAGCACTGAATTGAAAGCAAATGGAAAAACACAAGATTGAATGTTACAACTGAAGGCATTGTATCAATAAGATTATCTAAGGCAAGTCTGTTGGGAAGGTTTAAGTGATCTGTCTCAGCTTTGTGCACACATAGCCTAGTTCTGATAATAGCAGAGCTTTGGCAGCCAGATCATACGGCATTTGATGGTCAGTGACTTTATTTTGAAGCATGTTATTGTTTCCACATATCATTATGCTGCAATTTCCTGCACACAGCAATGCTCATTTTAAGGATATCTCTTAGCTGGAAACTTAAAAACAAAACAAAAACAAAAACTGTTTATAAATTCTAGCAAAGAAAAAACAACAAAAAAATGAGATTGTTTAGAAATATCTAACCTTCGCAGTGACAGTCCATGAATATCAATCAACCAGCCTCATGATTCTGTCTCTATCTACAGCTGTTTGCAGGGAAGGCAACAGAGGGTCAGCTTTCTGGCTTTGGGCTGCTTCCTTATTTTCTTTTAGAGCCATACATACACAGATACCCGCACAACTAGGACGGCTTCCAGCCACATCTTTCATTCGGGGAAAGCAGAATCTACCTTTTCTAAGCTTGCTTGCTATTGATTTCTATAGGTTTTGATCTTTTGATCTAAGAAGGGATCTAAGCAATCATTTGTCTTACTGCTTATATTATAGATGAAGCAGAGGTTTTACATATTTTTCCTTAGGCTGTTTGTCTTCCAACAAAGGAACAATTTACCCCTGAGTTGTGTAGATAAGGGCTAAGGAATCAGGTATTGTTTAAACAAAACCACAATCAAAATGGCCTATCACTTCAGTGACTTCAAATGACTAAAATGGTGATTGAAATGGGTCCAGTACATCATTGCTTAAGAATTTCCCTCATAGGGGCAAAATCAAGGTCTTCACTTTTAAAATGGTGTTTTGAAACCATCCAGGCCAAAGTATCCACTTTGAGATAATTTTTCATTTTTTTGTGCCTTGGTTGCCTATATTGCAGCTCTATACACATTCTAACAAACTGACTCGAAGCCTGTGGACCCTGTGTGTTACAGATAGCTCAGTCCAGCAGGAGCTGTAGAGCACAGTGCAATAGGTGCCTCTCAGCTGATTCATCTGGAACACGCACTTTGTGATGCCATGAGCTTAAGGGCCTTTTCATTCAGAGAAGAGAGTCCAGAGAGCCCAGTGGCCTCTAGCAGAGCCCTTCTTCTAGTCATGGGCTGGAATTTCAGGGTGGGAAGGAACTGCAGTGGGTCTTCCCTGCCCATCCACCTCAGGCATGAGAAGCCTATTTATCGGAGTTGGAAAGTCGTCACCTGCACCGATCACTTGCTCTTGCTTTGAGACACTGGATATCCCTGTCAGCAACCCAGGTCATCCCTCCTCCACCAGTGATCACAGCAATCACAACGTACCCCTGGTAGGGGTCCCTGCCTTCCACCCTGCTCCGCACCCAAGCGTCGTGGTATAGTTCAGGTTAAGGAGCAGCCTCTACATGCAGCTCCTGTGTTTGGGATCCTGGCACTGTGAGCTCGGGCTTATGTGAAATCTGACAATAAAAATATAACCACACCATGCTCCAGTGGGTCCCAGCTACTTTGTCCACCAACGACATTGGGGGATAGTGGCTCTGTCCAGTAGTTTGTGCATCTTTCAGAAAAACAACTTCAGAGATTTTTCTCAATGACCCGAAAGGTAACCTTGGAGAAGACTGGAAAAGGCTGGGAGGGGGAACATTGATTTAGTAAATCCCCAGTTGTAGGTATTTGGACAGGCCAAGGTCGAAGGCCAAGATGCATTTTTCCACAGTAAAAGGAAGGGTACTCTTAGTAAGTACTGTAAGAAAGTATACATGATCAGTAAGTGCTATAGGGAAGGTACTTTCTCAGTAAGTGTGGTAGGCAAAGTACTTCTTCAGGGCAAAGTCTTCACAACCCTGGCCAGCTTGGTGCAGGCAGCAGGTCTTTGCATTTTGAATTCTGTGAGAAGTCACGGCAGGATGCTGCTGACTGGTCTTCCAGTCACGGAATTGGAAGCATCACAGGACAGCGAAAGGCAGAGGAAAAGAAAAAAGGCTGTCACAGAAGCCCATAGTAGCCGCTTGGACATAGGCTTGTTGCCTTATAGGTGTGTCACGGCCAGCACTTTCCTTCCTCTTGCTTCTCATGGTGCAAATTTAGAAGTCAGGAACATTCCAGGGGTGGGGGCAGGAGGTTATGAACACTACAGCCCACAGAGAGAACAGGACAGCAGTTACCAGGTCATTTATAGTACTTCCTTGACGTCGAGGAAGTGGAAGGAGGGAATTTAGACTAATATCCTGAGCTAAAAATGGGGAAATTTTAAAAAGCGACCAGAAAGATTAGGTTATTTCTTTCCTTCTTTGTTTTCCACATGAGTAGCCCCTGAGAATACAACTGGCTTTCAGCCCTCTCTGTAACTGGGGACAGGACTGCAAGGAATGAATGAGCCTTACAGGAAATCCCCACAGATCATTGTTATCCATTAGCTTCAACCTCTTCCCTTCACAAATCTATCCCAGCTCTGGCTGAGGAGAAAAAGGAGCTCACAGAACCACACACGACCTTGCATGCCAGGTAAGTCCTCTGATGGCGGTGTGAAGGCCCTGCCTGTGTGAAAGAGAAGGGCAGAGCTGGGCAGGCTAACCGGGTGCAGTCAGGCTCCTTTACAAACAGGAACGCTGGAGCGGCCAGCCGTTCAGGCCATTGTAGGGGAGGCACAACCTCTACCCTCTTACCATCTTTGGCTGGCCTGGAAACTCAGCTGACCTAAGACATTAACAAGAGAGGAGTATATACAGTTTATTATTACACATACATGGGAGCCTTTACAGGAAAAATAAAGCAGCTGGGACCAAATGCTTATATACTGGGATGAACAGACAGTAGTAATTGCAAGGAAATATACGGGAGGCTAAAGGAAAATAAGGGTCATTTAGCAATGTTTGTTTGTACTAATTTCTCTCAGCCCCTCCTCCCCCCTCCTACAGAGAGAACATCTTGCACATTGGAGCTAACTCTTGCTTTCAGGAAGAAATGGGGAAGTCAAGAGTTGCCATCTTGCATGTGCTGTTGTTCAAGAAACTTTAACTCAAAACAATCCTATATCAAAGTGGGATATTTTGGGCATTTTCTGCTACCCTTCACCATTCCCCTAATTAGCAGCAAAATGAGAACTAGAGGTGGTTCTCCTCACCTGACGGTGCTTATTGACTACAATTGTTTCTGTCTTGTGCCTGGGACACATCCCTCACTCTCAGCTGATACCGTCAGCACACCTGCGATGCACAGGGCCCTGTGCTCGAGGCCTCCAGATTTGCCTGCGGTGCATCAGTGGTGCTGTTCCTGTCTTGGGGATGAGGACACTGAGGTTCAGAGAGGCTCCATAGATTAGCAGTTGCATTTTCATGTGGTTCAGCCTAAAAACATGTCCTAGGTAACACAACAATTGTGGTCAAGAGTCAGAAAGCTGGATCCAGAAAGACTGATTTTCTCAAAGCCACAGAGCTGCCATAAGCACAGCTGAGCTGGCTCTGCCACCTCAGGCTCGCTGGTGGAGCTGCTGTGACACATGGGAGAAGCACTATGGGAACAGCCACTCCTTGGCTCTGCTCACCTGATGTAGGGTCTCTGAAATAAGAGCCTTGTAGGACACAGGAGATGTTGTGACACTTTAAACTGAACCTTGCAAAAAACGAACCAACCTCTCTAGGGCCACCTTGGATGGGCTTGTGTGATGCTTCCAAGGGCTACTTTCTTTTCTTAGATGCTGCTGAGACCTCTAGGTCACGTCAATGTGGAAAACTCTAAAGTTATCTAACTTTCATCCACTTCTTCACCAAAACCATCTCATCCTTCTCTTGATTAGGGTACTGCTGCAGGTAAAGACATGGCACCCAGGTTCAGAGGAGCGAGGTTCTAGATTTATTTGGACTAATTGGGGAACATCCTTTAGTGAGAAGATTCTAAATAGCTATGCCAAAGGTAATTTGCTGGTTTTCCCTGTGGTTACACCTTCTCATATACCGAAGGCCAATGGTGTATGAGGGGCCTGGTCTTAGGGGCTGCTGTTAGCCCAGAGCCCCGAATCAAACACGAGTCACGTGGTCATCACGAAGCATCAGGCGCCCTTGAGAGAACTCTCTCTAAGGAACACTTAGGCAACTGGTCAAGAACACCGACAAATTCATAATCATTTATTGCAAATCACCTATAGTTTATACATTATTAATGGCAAAATAACACTGTTAAACACCTGCTGGATGAAGAACTTCATTATGACAATTTCCTATTGGCATCACTTCTTTTTCAAAAATTTAAAATTTCAATTTTAAATCCTACATCTTTCCTAAAAAGATCTATCTTCAAAGGGCTCCACCGCCAACTCTATAAGTCTTTCTTTGGCTCTAACACCTAACACAAAGGGCACACAGTCCAGTCAATTCAACATGCTCTTTACAAGGCAACATAACATACAAAAATTTTTTAATCCTGAAGCTACATAATGATCGCTTTATATTTTGCTGCAAAATCAGTGATGGCTGCATGCAGGTGAAACATTAGTAGACACTAAGTTCTAGATAACTCTCAGCTATTACTATCTGATGGTCTGGTGTGGAAAATTAATATGCTTGTTTAGCAGAAGCAGCTAAAGTACATGCATCAGTGGCTAGGATCAATTAGAGTATAAATTAGGTATCTAAACATTGAAATGAGAGCTTAATTTGATGTCTGGCACATCTGAGTTATACACCTTTAAAATGACAATAACAAAGAGGACAAAATTGAACACCTAAACAGGGACTGGTTTATGGGGTCAGCCAGGCGTATGGCTTGGGACACAGAACTAGCTGGGCAGTGAACAGATCTCTTTTGATGCAAAAATGGTGGAGCATTAACAAGCTGTAAATGGGGCAAAAAAAGAGAGAGAGAGAGCCATTTCCTGTATTTTCATTTTTTAAAATGTTCAATTCTCTAACTTAAAAAATAACAAAAATATAATAATTACAAAACAGAAACATCTTTAGTTACTACTTAGACCCCCTCTTTTGTCTGCTACCCTGTCCCTCTGCCCTTCAGGTAGTGTGTTTTAAAATAATGCTGGGTTAAATGGTAGAAAAGAAAATGCTCTCCTGAATCACACTGAAAGAATATTAAATTCCTTCATCTTGTCAGGGTTAACACTGGGAACAAGCACATGACAATGTATGTTTGACATGTTGTAGCCACAGCAATTAAATCACATGTCCACACTCTAAGGTTAAATCATCATTACATTGACTTAAAAAACTTTTGTTTTCATTGGTAGTTATATCTTGACTTTGAGACAAACAAAATATTTCTGAACCACATAAATTCCATTCCCTCCCACCCTCTATCCCCTCCCACAATCCAATGAGAAAGAGAACTATAGTAACAGAAGGCAGGGACCAAGGTGTCAAGGGCAGACATGTGGGACGGTGGTTCCAGGTTCAAGCGCTGCCATCGCCAGTCCTGGCTTTCCGGGCCTCGATCATTGGCTTGGTCGCCTGTTTGCGGTCAGTGGCCAGCCCCAGCCAGCACATGATGTCAATGAACCAGGTGGTGGGGTTGAAATTTAAGCCAAATTCGCTTGCAGAGTAGTCAAAGGGAAAGGTGTGGTGGTAATTGTGGAAGCCTTCACCTGGAAGACAAAATGAGCATTGAAACAAACCACTCACCCACCTCTCTGCACAGGTCTTGAATCACTTACTGGGGGTCTACCATGTACAAGAAACTGCATCAGGCTCTTTAGAGAGCAAAAGACTTAATTTCTACCCGTAGGAAGCTCTATTTAGTTGGCTAGAAAAACTAAATGTAAACAGAAAAGGACAATAAAGTTATCGGCATAAAGTCACAAGATAATTTTCCTCTAAGAATTGGAGACATGCTACCATGATATCAGAGCTGAGCTGTACTCTGTAAGCTAGATGCTGACTGGCTGGTAGCAGACTGTGTGTTCATAAAAGGAAAACAGCCTCTGTGGGCTGGAGCAATGAGAGCAAGATCTCGGGAGAACTTGGGAGAGATAAATGAGAATCGTTCAAATAGGTAAGTCAGTCAAGGAGTTGGATCTTGAAATAGCTGAAATCTGCCTACATATTGTCCTGTCCCTCCCAGTGCACAGCTTTTCCTCCTTTTTGTTAAAGTGTTTTCAGGACGGGGATTACCTCAGAGCTTCTTTCATTTGATTTTTTAAAACAGTTTTATTGAGATATAACTCACCATACAATTCACCCATTTAAAGTATACGGTTTAATGTTTTTTCAAATATTCAGACTTGCGCATCCATCACCAAAATGAATTACAATATTTTCATTAACTAAAAAAGGAAACCCCAAACCCCTTAGCTGTCATCCCCCAACCACCCCCAACCATCCCAGCCCTACTTCCTGTCTCTGAGATGGTGAATTCTATGTGTCAACCTGATGGGCCAAGGGGTGCCCATTAAACATCATTCTAGGTGTGTCTGTGAGAGTGTTTCTGGAGAAGAGTAACATTTGAGTCAGTGGACTCAGTAAAGCAGATCACTTTCCCCAGTGTAGGTGGGTTTCACCCAATCCATTAAGGGCCAGAAAAGAACAAGTGGAGGGAGGAATTTGCCTCTTTTCCTAATTCACTGGTTGACCTGAGACATCTATCTCACCTTCTGCTGCCCTCAGACTGGGAGCTACAGGATTGGCTCCCCTGGTTCTCAGGTCTTTGGACTTAATTATACCACTGGTTTTCCTGGGTCTCCAGCTTGCAGACTACAACTCCTGGGACTTCATAGCCTCTATTATAATATGAGATAATTCCCCATAGTCAATCAATTAATTAATCAATCAGTCTTTCTATGTTTGTCTGTCTGTCTATATACAGAACCAATAGAATATATCCATGTTTATAAACATATCCTACTGTTTCTCTATATATGGAAATGTACTATGAGGAATATATATATATGTAATATATGTAACAGTATATATACTGAGATACACAGAGTTTTTCTTTCTCTGGAGAAACCTGACTAATACAGTCTCTATAGATTTGCCTATTTTGAACATTTCGTATAAATGAAATCATGCTATCCTATGTGACTGATTTCTTTCACTTAGCATAATGTTTTCAAAGTATAGTAGGTATCAGCATTTAATTTCTTTTTTATATGGATATACCACTTACCATGCCACTATATTTATATCAATGAATTTATCCATGGATATTTGGATTATTTCCACTTTTTAGCTATTCTGAATAATGTTGCTATGAGCATTCAAATACAGGTTTTTGTGTGGACATATGTTTTGATTTCTCTTAGGGATGAATCTAGGAATAGGGTTGCTAGATTACATATTAACTGTTTTTAACCATTTGAAGAACTGCCAGATTTTTCCTTTACTACTTAAGTGGCTATAAGTCATCACATGGTTCTTATCCTGACCACATTTTAAGGATTCTGCTTTGTACTGAGCACATCAGATGGACTGACCTGTGGTCTGCCCTTTTCTTAATTTAGGTGTTCTCTACTCTGCCCATCCACCCTTGTCATTTCTAGGTTCTTTCCTGTATAGTATAGAGAAGTTTAACCCTTATTTTCAGAAACAGTCACTGGTCTGCACAGTTGCATATAAGAGCCTTCCAAGAACCTTCATGAAGAAAACTGACTGGGAGTCCAGTGTTGACCTGGATGGATTTAAAACCAATACCCAGCTGTTCAGGGTATTGGATGCATTGACCATGGCCACATTCCTTGGGTTTCCTGGATCTCCTTCTCTCTATAAAATGGTAGCAGTCTCTGTTATCCCCACTCAGGTCTTGCTCTCAGGGTCAATGCTCGATGTGGCTCTCTCCTTAGAGTCCTTAGAGAATGAAGATGACAGAAGGAGAAAGGAAAGCAACAGGAGGGTCAGGAAACGTCCTCCTGTTTTCCAAGGCACTTTGCTCTCTGCTTATCCTGTCATCCCATAGCTAAATCTGGTGCTCATTCCACCTTATATTGCTCTTGAGCCTTACATGGAAAACCCTAACAAAGTGGTGATAGGAACTCATTGCTGGGAGAGGCAGAGATCATTTCTATTCAATAGCAGGAACTTCTCTTCCTGTGTTTGAGCTCTGTGCTAAATACTCAGCTTACCAAGAAGTCAACTGCTTCTATAAAGCTATCGTTAACATTTATTAATCACTTACTGAGTGCCAGCCTCATACAAACTGCTTTAATGAGTATGAACACCTATAATCTGCACACCTCTGAGCTATGATTACTCCCATTTTAAAGTGAGGATGTAAATGAGTGGAAGGGACAAGAAATTTGCCTAAGACCATATGGTTGGTAATAAAAACAACATAACTGAGGGCTTATTTTGTACTAAGTACTGCTGCAAGTGCTATTTATTAACTTGTCCAAACCTCCAACAACCCCAGCAGGAGGTAAATACTACTATTATGCCCACTTTACAGATAAGGACATGAGGTGTGGAGGAGTCAGGTAACTTGCCCAGACAGTAAGCAAAGGAACCAGGACTCTACCACACTGGTTGGACTCCAACGGCTTCTTAACCATTTTGTGGTACCACGAGATGCCACAATCTCATTTTGTCCTATCTCTTTGTTTAAAGGGCTGCTTGCATACGGTCAGCCAAATGATAGGACAGCTGAGGATATTCAGGCAGCTGGAGAGAAAAGTCAACTGCTACTCTCCTGTAGGAGAATTTCCATGGCAAAAATAAATAGGTACTAATTATTGATCACCTACTATGTACAATTTACATATATAAATATTTTACTAATTCTCATATCCCATAAAGAAAGCATTACTAATCCCACTTCATAGGTAAGAGGACTATAAATCAGAAGTTAGGTGACTTGTCCATGAGTCTGGATTCTAACACCAAAGGCCCAAGTTCATTCCATTCCACTCCACTGCCTCTCTTTACAGGTTCCACAAAACTATGAGAAGCCAAGAAAATTGAGCTGCCATTCTCTCCATTGGCTCTCACACCCTTACTCACCAACAGCACCCAGAGTGACCAGTGGGTTCTGCCGAGGGCTGATGTGCTTATCATAGGGCCGGTTTCCATACATGTGGGCAGCACTGTTGACCAGCCAGGTGATGTTGAGTGAGATGGTATAGCGAAGAATGGAGGCCAAGAAGTAGGAATTCCACAGACTCTCTCCCCAGATGCACCAGGGCACCAGTGTGGGGACCACAAAGCACATGAGCACCACGGAGATCTTATAGTACCTGGAAGGCAGGATAGTAGGCTTTCAGTGGGCATCTGTTGATGGTGGTGAGGAAAGGCTGAGCAAACTATAGAAAAAGTCAGGAATTGTGCCGGACAGCAACTTCAACTCTTTCTGTGTAAGGAATAACCTGTTACATGCCACTCTGTGCAGGGGCCACACACCTACATATCTACAGGTCTAGGTAGGTTAACACAAGTTTGAGAATTAGCTCAGGTAAAAGGTTGCAGAAGCAGTGGGGCCTGCAGCATATTTCAGAGGAATTTTGATATAAAATGATCATCATTTTACTAAAAGCCATGTGTCTTAGAGCTACATTTGTCCTATAAGCCACCAGTTTGACAGCTCCTAGCTACTTCTTTGATCAGTCAACCTGATAATCAGGCTTTCTTGAATAATTTCAAGAAATATTTAGTATTTCTGGAATAGTTTTCAGGCACATGATTCTGTGCTAACTTAGCTAGGTAAAAAAGGAAAAAAATCCTCTCTCCAAAATGTTCTTTGCCCATTAAAGATCACATTCCAAACCATCATAAAAAAAATAAACACTAACTATAGGAATAGGCATCACCACATAAAAAGTGATCATTAAACAGAAACAATCAATAGTTTGATTTCTGGCCTTGTGTATCCTGTAAACATTTACTGAGCACCTGTTGTATGCCAGGACCTGAGTGCTGATGATACAAAGGCAAACTTGAGATGATCCCTGGGCCACAAAAGACTAGCTTAGCTCTACGCAGGAACAGGAGAGGGGCTCTGATGGGAAAGTGTCCAAAGCCACCTGTTTGTAGCGATTTCTTCCCTGGCTCCCATTGGCTAACCACGTTTCCAGATCTGGGTTAAGATGCATATGTATAAACTGGGAAGTGGCACCATGTGAGGGCATGAGATTCAGCAGGTGGGAGGCTTTGACTTGAATCTAGATCTGATTCTGGATGTTGAACAGGCCTCATTTTATTCTTTCATGCTCTTTTTGCACACAGTTAGATGGCTCCCCAAACACAGAACATGAAGCAAGGGCTTGTGTGTGGGTATATTTTGGGAAGTGAGCTCATACTACAGCAGTGGGCAATGGGAAGAATGAGACAGGGAAGGGGAGAAAGCTAAGTTAGGGTGCTCTCTGCTGTGGGCAACTGAAGTTGGACCTTGAGGGGGCAGATTTTATTCTCTCCAAGCATAAAAGAAGGGACCACAGGGATGTCACATGGAGGGATATTAACTTCCTTACACTTTCAGTTTGGGTCAGAATGGCTGAGTGTGTTCCGTAGGCAGCTCAGGTGGAGATGACAAAGAAGCTGGGATAGGAAGTGAAAAATAAACAGTACATAGAAGCAGTCAGGAGCTGCAAGATTGTGGGAACACACATGGTGAACTGCTGTAAACTACCAATCCACACATTCCCCAAGCAGGCTCTTTGTTTCTTTCTCCTCTAGCACTCTTTCCAAGTGTCTTAAGCAGATACATTTGCCATCTTCTCCATTAGGGAATGAATGATGGTTATGGATGTACTATAACCTGACAGTCATGTTTAAGGAGATCCTGAAAGATCTGCTCTCAGGCAGGAAGGGCTTGAGCACAGTGGCTCACTGTAGCCTCACCAGGGTGCCGGCTCCCAGTGGTCCCCAGGAAGGACAGCTGTGTTCCATGGAGGCTGAGTCTCCCACCTATTGGATTTTACACTAATGGCTAAACTTTATTATAGTTCTTAACAAGTTAGAAGTTCTTTCTCCAAGATCAAGAGAAATAAATGATCCAGAAAGAAAATGAGAGCCTTTTGTAAGGTTTCTGGTTTGAGTTTCTGTTCATTAAAAAAGTAGTTATTGGCTAAAATTTATTACAGTAGATGCATGTGGAGAATAAATAAAACAAAACACGTAATTATTGTTCACACAATTTTTCAATTCCACTTTTTCAAAATAAGATTTTAAGCCATTCTGAATAAGAAGAGGAAGGAGGAAGAGGAGGGTGAGAAGAAGAAGGGAGAGAGAAGAGGAAGGAGGAGGAGGTGGAGGAGGATAAGGAGGGGAAGAAGAAGAAGGAGGAGGAGGAGAAGAGGAAGAAAGAAGAAGAAAAGGGAAAGAAAGAAGGGGAAAGAAGGAGAAAGGAGAAGAAAGGAGGAGGAGAAGAAGAAGGAGGAGGAGAAAGAGAAAGAAGAAGAGAAAAGGAGAAGAAGAAGAAAGAAGGAGGAGAAATAAGCAGCACAGTTATGCAAGGTGCTGTTGGATTATACCAGTGTGGACAGGTGGCAGCAGCAAGGACAGAGTGAAAAGGTGGGCTGAGAGCATGAGACAGGGCACAAGAGATGTCCAATCCAGCAGTAACTGTAATATCTCGCAGGGTTCTTATAAAGATCAACTACTGATAACTACCTTATACTATGTGCTTATTATGTGCAGCACTATTCTGACACCTTTACATATACCGATTCATTTAATTTTAACAAAAACTCTAGGAAAAATGTACCATCACTATGCCATTTTACAGATGGGGAAGTTGAGCAATAGAAAGGTTATGCAGCTGGCCCAAGGTCACAAGACTAGTAAGTAGTAGGACCAAGATTCAAATCCAGGCAGAATCACTGGAGACCATTGTGCTACTGTGCTTTGCAAATGAAATCATGTGTGCATGTCTGCTCTAGAGACTGCTAGCTGCACATAAATATCGGTTCCCATAATGATAACCCATGAACACCCATTTTCCAGTCACTGGGCTGCAAGGTGGCTGCATTTTAGTGCAAAGAGGGCTCCTGGGAGGTCAGACGAGTGGCTATGGTTGGAGAGGCAAAGACAACAGACAAAGAAGGGATGGGTAGTCTTAGAGTGGGCTCCCCAGAGTCTCAGGCAGAAGGCTTTTGGGCAGAGCTCTTGAGGGATACCTGTGAGGGAGGGTGGAAGGCAGGTTGGGCTGAGGGAGACACTCACCCATAATGGGTTTCAGCAGATCCAATAGGGAGCTCTGGGGCTGGATGACCCTTTAGAGTTGTTCCAAACTTAAAGGTCTTGGTATCATGCAGCCATTGGTCGCAGGGTGCCCCTGGAAGGGGGTGAATCCTTGGACAAACCAGTTCCATGTGGGTGGGCAAAAGCCATCCCCAGAATTCCATGTGAATGAGGGCCATTCCCAGCAAGGGCGGCAGTGTGCGAGGGTGAGAGCATAAGCTACAGAGGAGATCTGGGTGAAGCATGCAGGCACACGCCAAGGGCCCTGGGAATGGTGGTGAGCACGGAAGAGCATGGTGCTCTGACAGGAAAGTAGAAGACATGCCCAGGTCCCAAGACTGCTGCTGCAGCTGTTACTGCTGCTGCTACTGCTCCTTGTTTGCACCTCACAGAAGGAAAGCAAGCAGCTGAATGTTGCCAACAGAAGGCATTTTGCAAACTAAGTGTCTCTGTCCCTTCCTCTACTCTGTCCCAACCCAGGACATTTGAAAGAGCCTCTCCTTGCCCTGTTCTGAGCCATTGTCTTGGCCCTCATTTTGTTCCTGAAAAGAAGGAAAAAAAATTTATTGAGGACTTGCTCTGTGCTGGGCACCAGGCTAAGTATGTCAGAGGACACCTTGTCTAAGTAGGTGCCGGGCCCTTGCTCTGCCTGGTCCTCTGGAATCCCCCTTCCAGGTTTGATGGGCCCATAGGACTCAGCTTCCACTCATGCCCTGGCCCTGCCTCCTCCCTCTGAACTGCTTAGGAAAGCCAGGTGCCTGTCTGGGATCTGCTTCCAGAAACTCCACTTCCCTAGGGAGCTGGGTCCCTGTGGAGGGATGGCATCAGCAATGTGGCTTCCCAACTGGGAGGTGAAAAGGGCCTGGGTTTCACCTCCTGGCACAGTCACTGCCCCGCCCAAGTTCCTCTTCCTTAAAAAGACACGCTCTTTAAAAATCACTGCCCTCATTCTAACAAAGCTTTAGCAGATCCAATTATAGGGTTGTCCTCTGCTCTTTCTGTTTTCTGCTAGGATTCCTCCTTGTGTGTTCACTGTGATGGATGAAAGAGGAAGGAATTTTTAGGTGAGTCTGCATGGGATTGTCAATGAGGCAGATCTTGATGCTGATAATAGTAAAAATTCTCCCTGATCATTTCAAACCCACTCAGCATATCTTCCCATGGTAGTAGCCAAGTCCCCCTTCCCTCCTCCTGTCAGCCATCTCCTAGGGCAGCTGGTGTGCATTTAATTATAGTCACAGACCTTCTTGCCTTGGAACAAGTGCTGAGAAGGCTTCCCACCTCCCTTGCTTAAAAACACTCACTTCTGAACACCCTAGTCAAGGGTCCAAAGGCCAAACTCACCATAAAAGCCTCCAGCATCTAATCTTTCCTCATTTAAAAGATTTCTTTTCTTCAGTTGGTGGTAGAAAAGGAGGCTGAAGAGAGCCCATCAGTATTGCTTTTTGCTAAATGGGTTTTTTGTGTTGTAAAGAATCATAGAATACAGGGTGGGGCAAAAGTAGGTTTACAGTTGTTCATATGGAAAATAATATAATAATTAATAAATAATAATGCAAGAATAAACTGTTTCACATACTTGTAACTGTAAACCTACTTTTGCTCCACCCCATATTTAACTACCCAGCCCTGCCACTTTCTAGCTGTGTGATGTTAAGTAAATTATTTAGTTGCACTGAGCTTCACATTTCTCCTCTGTAAAATGCAGGTACTAACAAATTTATTGAGTGCCTACTATGTTCCAGGTACTGTTCTAACACTGGAAAAATAAAATAAACAAAACAGACAAAAACCCCTGCCCTTAGGGAGCAGGGGTATTATGGTAGAAAAGTTGTTTTTATACATATTTTCTGGTAGGGAAGACGGGTAATAAAATGAACAATATATGCAGCATGTTAATGGTCAATACTAAGAAAAAATAAAGCAGAGGAGAATATGAAGTAAGGGTACTGACACAGAGTTTTTGAGTAAAGACTTGAAGGAAGTAAGAAATTAGTCACATGGCTAAATGGGGCTAAAGACTCTAGGCAAAGGAAACCACAAACACCAAGACCCTGAA